TTAATATATCAGAATATACATCTGAAAAATCATTGTTTAAAGAAAGTTTATATGCAAGGACAGAGCCATGCATCCTTTTTCACCTCAATGTCCTTTGAGAGCCCTGTCTTGATAAAGATGCAAGTCATTGTTAAAATATCAATGAAGAGGCATAACGTGAGGGGGACGAAGGCTGGTGAGCGGCTGAGATCATGTGAGATCCAGCTCACAGGATCTCACCTTTGGAGCTATAATAGTTGCCTATTGTTGCAGTAACAAATTTCCACAAACTTGGTGGCTTAAAATAGCAGAAATTTATTGTCTCACAGTTCTGGTGGCCGGAGGTCTGATCTAGGTGTTGTCAGGGTTGATTCCTCCATGGGGTCCTAGCAGAGAATCCGTCCTGTGCCTTCGTCTAGCTTCTGGTGCCTGTGGCAATGCTTGCGTTCCCTTGCCTGTCGAGGCATCACTCCAGTCTTCACCTTCGTCTTCACTTGGCCTTCCCCACTGTGCGTGTCTGTGTCTCAAATCTCTCTCTTATAATGACACTAGTCATTGGATTTAGGGTCCACACTAAATTCAGGATAATTTCATTGAAGATCCTTGGCTTACTTACATCTGCAAAGACTGTTTCCAAATAAGGTCACAGTCACAGTTACCAGGGGCTAGGACTCAGATGTATCTTTTTGGAGGACACAATTCACCCCACTACAGGAGCCATCCAGGTGCCTGTTAGGAAAGGCTGTACTTGTTAATTAGGGTCATTTACTTGAGAAAGCTCAAAATAGATGTAACCTTAATGTGCCCAGGATATTCAGATCTAAGTGGCCCAAATGAAGAAAATAAACTCTGTTATGGAATTTCCACACTCTAAATTAGAGAATTACCTCCCCCCCAAACTGAGCTATTCCTCTCACTTCTAAAGCAGGAAATAATGTTTCCACTTGTGACCTGTTTTAATGAAAGACATCATTGAGAACAATCTTTTTCACCTGGTGATATTTTTTTTCGTCTTTAGCCTGAATCAGCTTACCTTTCACAAAACACAACACAGACACACACACACATATACACACCTGGACCTAGACATGTGACATTCTTGTATGTTTATTTGAGATAGATAAAGCGACTACATGGAAGAAATACTATTCCTCTCTTTGGTGGATCTGAGCACATAACGCTACATTACAGATAAATAGAAACTACTGACGAAGAAAACAGAAAAGGTGTCTCTGAAGTCAACACAATCCATGGACTAAAGACTCCGTCGTGTGGCGTGAGTCACAACAGTTACAATGTACAAGTTAAGTTCCTTAAATGGCGACTTCACAAACACTAGATTATTCACATATTTATACAGTGCTTATGCAAACAGGTCCAAGTAGTTTCTTAACTTTATCCGAGTAAGTTTATGCTGGTTTCAGGTTTTATTACAGATACTTTATAATATGCTAGAGATTAGCACTCTAACATAAATTAAAACCAGATGAAGTGAAACTAAATTGTGCAAGGGCCAGGATTGATATTGATAAATAGCATAAGTTCTGCATGGTAAAACGTGTATGAAAAATAAGGGAAAAGACTCATGGAAATCATGAATCCTGTGTTCTAGAAAGAGGTGTGTCAGTCAGTAAAATCATTAGACAATGTGTAGGATTGACATTTCAACTTGTTAAAAAGAAAGATTACCTTATATTTCTTGATATGTAGTTTAATGCTGACCTGTTCTAATGAAGAACTTCTAAGCAGAATTACGTCTTTCTGAGCATATCTTTCAAACTCCTCACTGTAAGCAGAGGTGGCTTCACCGTCCTGTTGGTGGAGTTCAGGACTCTTACTGGAACTCCTCGGCTCTTCAGAACCCCAAGTCTTCTCCTGGATGCTCTCATCTATTTACCCCAAGAAGATCAACATGGAATTCCACTTGCTCTTTATCACTTCAACGTTGGCTAAACACACAGTCATCTAACCACCTTTTTCTTATATTGGATAAAGTTTTCATAATCTACAATTTAGCAAATTATTTTCTGTTTAACGTGCTGGGAAATCACTAAAGCCCAGAATAAGTTTTATTAAAAACCAACCATGACACCAACCTTTGTTCATCCTGTCATGTTCACAGAGTGAGTCAAGTACAGCTATGCATTAAAGCCTTTTGCCCACTTACCAAATACATCCTAAAATGCAGATACTGGGCTATTCTATGCGTTAATATTACATGTTCGTCACTTCAACATCTTACCACTTTCTTGCCATTTTACTGAAACAAGTTTGGGAGATGAATAGGTTTAGGAGAAGCCAGAGGTCTTGGGTTCATTTCCCAAATTGGGATCCCTGAGAATAGTTCCTGAACTTTGCACACACAGAGTGACATTATTTGGGCTGCCTTGTTTATTTGCATAGAAATGCCAGCATTTATATAAATGGTATGTGTACTTTACTTCTCTCTCTATCATCCGAAAACAGTATCATCTACAAAATGCATCTATTCATCTACTAGATGCATGCTGTAAATAGAAAGTAATCCTCTCTCTTCTCAAAAAAAAATGCTGGAAGGTAAAATATTGAATTTTCCATGCCTCCAATGTTAGAATTTTAACAAGAACCTTGACACTGTCAGCCAATGGAAGAGAGTTTCTTTCTCAGGAGGGAAATGAGGTGGGGCAGTGGCGAGAGCCCTGGGCTGCAGCATCTAGAGGCTGCTGGCCTTCCTTCTTGCTTCTCTTTCTAGGTCTCAGTTATATCCTCGTGTATAAAATAGTTGGTCAAGTACCTGACTATTCTGTAAATTCCATAAGACATTTGTAAGCCCATCAATGATTTTAGAAGACCAATTAGGTGCTACCTGTAAATGTGTAGTTTAGTGGTTTCCAGGGATCCAAGCTGCAAACAGTTGTAAGAATGGAAAGGACATAACAGGTCTAAAAGTGCGTTACTCAATGTCTAGCAGAAAAAAAGGTATTCAATATCTATTTGCTCACTCAGATATTAGACTAAAAATATAGAGGCCTGACTGATTTAAATATAACTGTTTGTGATGCTTAATTTTATATGTCAGCTTGGCTGGGCTATGGTGCCCAGTTTTTGTTCAAACACCAGTCTGGATGTTGCCATGAAGGCAATTTTTAGATGTGATTAACCATTTAAATCAGTAGACTTTGAGTAAAACAGATGACCCTTCATAATGTGGGTGGGCCTCTTCCAATCAGTTGAAGACCTTAAGAGTAAAGACTGAGGTTCCCGGAAAAGAGGAATTTGGTCTCAAGACTGCAACACACGAAATTCAGCCTGAGTTCTCAGCCTGCTGACCTGGCCTGTGGCTTTCGGTCTCAAGACTACAACATCAATTCCTGCCTGGATTTCATATCAACTCTTCCCTGATTCTACCGCCAGTCTGCCCTAAGGATCTCAGACTTGTCAGCCCCTACAATTGCATGAGCCAATTTCTTAAAATCTCTCTCTCTCTCTATTGGTTCTATTGGATTCTGCTTCTCTGGAGAATCTTGACAAATATCTCATTTGAATTTAGGATCCTCAAAATGAAGGATCAAACTGGCATGAAAAATGAGTTTCCTTTCTTTATAAAGACAAAAAGAAACAAAAGTGTGGCTACACAAACTGATAGCAAAAAAGTAAAGGGAGGTGTATCTAGGCAGGAATAAAATTTTTAGGGAGTGCTGTTCTGTGAAAGGTGACCAAAATGGGGTCTAATCTTTAAGGATGTTACAAAGTTTAAATAAGTTAATATTTATCTTATTTAGAACAGTGCTTAGAACCATACCAGGTACCTAGTAAGCACTCAATAAATGTTTAGCTACTATTAATATTTTCATCATCATCATCAACATTATCATCATCATTACCATCATCATTTTTGTTATTCTAGGTATGTGCTTATCTGCATAACTGCTCCATGTGGCAGGTATAATATATCCATTTGGCAGAAATGGCAAAGAAAGGTTAAAAAATTGGCCCAAAGTCATACAGCTAGTAAATAGTGAAGCTAAGCATAAATTCAATAGAAATAACAGCTGTAATTATTAAAAGACTTAAGCATAATCAGCCCTACTCCTTACAAGTACTTTAAGGAATTGTCGTAATAAGGAAGACAAAATGATTGAGAAGAACCAAGCACACACTGAGAAAAAAGCTTAATAGAATTATTCCCCATGAATTTGAATATATGTGTATACAGCAACTTACACTAGTGCTTTGGTAAAAAGTCCAGTGTGGTTCTGGCATGAATTTATATGTGTTAAACTAAGAATTTAGAATTTAGTTTGTAAAGAATTATCTTTAAATTCATAGATTAAATACATATAAGAATTTCTTACTTAAAGATCCTAACATTCACAAGCATGAATTCCCACAGTAAGACTGAAAACAATATACTACTTGTCTTCTATCATCCCAAAGCATTTGCTTAAAAGCTAAGTCATACTCTTTAAAAAGAGTGACATTTGGGGGCTGGCCCAGTGGCGTAGTGAGTGGTTAAGTTCGAGTGTTCCACTTTGGCAGCCTGGGGCTCACTGGTTCCGATTGTGGGCATACACACTGCTCATCGAGCCATGCCGAGGCGGCGTCTCACAAAGAGCAACTAGAAGCATGTACAACTAACTACTGGGGCTTTGGAGAGAAAAACAGAAAAAAGGAGGAAGATTGGCAACAGATGTTAGCTCAGGGTCAATCTTCCTCAAAAAAAAAAAAAAGAGTGACATTTGCCTTACAAATCAGTGAATCCAAATATGTCACATGCCATTGCAGCATCCACAATAGTAAGTCGGTTAAATCATTTTTGCTAGTTAGGGTTATAAATTTTATGCAGTTACAGTAAATTAGGCCGTAATTACTTTTTCTCCCAACTTTAGCTATATTTAAATATTTCCAACCATCAAAAACACACCTAGGTCATCAACGAATGGTTATATTTAGAAAAGACAGATTAGCATTTGCAAGAAACCATCTCAATGAATTTATAACTAATGTTAATACAAAAGATTGAAAATAATTGGCCTCTTACCTCAGGGTTCTCCTCGTCCACTCTCTTCAAACAGCCTCATTAATCTATCACAGAGCATTCTATTATCAACTTGTAAGGGTGCTAAAAGAACATATTTATGATAACTTTCTCATCAGTTAATTCACAGATATGCAAATGTAATTACAAAAAGAAATTATTAATCATCATGGCTATTTAGTTATTTTATAGGTCATGGACACAAATTCTATTCAATATGCTGCCTTGCTCTGAAAGAAAAAAACCTTTTGTAAATCAACGATAATTGGAACAACGATTTTTACATGTGTATTGCAGGGTATTCGTAATAGGATACTTCTCCAATCAAAAGGATCTCGTATTCAATGGATTATGACATCTATTACACAAGAATCATTTCAGAACAAGCCATTCTGGTTTGTCAAATCATATAATAGAATATATAAGCATTTGATCAAAATGAACGTTTTCCATTAGCTACGCTCTATATATCATATTTTTTTACTACTTTATGTAAGAAACAACAAACTTGAGTGGCCTTAGGTGGTCTTAGATTCTTTTATATATGCTATTGTAATATAATAGCAAATACAAGGGCTACTTAGTTCTTTTGTGAATTTAAAGCAACAAGGCCATGTCATTACACACACACAAAAAAACATAATTGGAAAAACATGGTTCTGGAAGAGGGTTTAAAGGGTCATCTAGGTGGATCTCCTGCCACTGAATAGAACCAAACATAAACGATGCCAAGTTGGGTGACTGTCCCAGTCTTAGAATTAGAATACATATACAGACGATGACTTTTTCAAGCATCAGCTGACCTGCAAATGTTCTTTTCTTGCCAGGAGCCAGCACGGACCTCCTACATCCCCACATTTGTGGAAAAAGGAGAGGGGCAATTCCTGGAAGACATTTTGCAGATTGTGCGTGAGGGAAGCATGAACTTTTATTCCAGCATTGCCTGACTCCTTATAACTCCTAGTGGGAACAGCTACAAAACTTATAAAGCAGATATATGGCTCAGAAAAGAATCTTATTTGGAAGTTAACATCAAGCAATAGAAGACGCCTAGATGGCTAATTCTCTGCAGATGTAACAAAAGTCCCAGTATAAGGACTTAATAATCCTGATGGACCAATGAGGGTGATAGACAAAAATAAACGAACTTACATTTAGGATGTCAAACAGACAGACAGACAAGAGGTAAATGGGATTAATAGAGACACCATGTTTAGAAGAGAGGCAACCTGGCACAGGTTTGGTATCAGCCAAACTCACAACCAATCCCAGTTCTGCCACTTCGTAGCTCTGTAATCTTGGGGCAGCTTCTTAGAGTCCCTGAGCTTTAGTCCTCTTGCCTCCAAAATGGGATGGTTGTGAGGATTAACAAAATAACATGCATAAAGCACCTAGCTTCGTGCCTGGCATGTAGTAGGCACTCAGCAAAGGGCAGCCACCCTCCTTTGTTTGTTGTTGTCAACTACTTAGCAATTGAATGAAGCACATAATTTTTCAATAGTTTGGGTTCTGCCATTCTAAACTAGTATTTTTATTTTCCTTATGAAGTAATGAGTTATAGACAGCTTTTTGGGCGTTGTATGAAAGGAACTTGAATGAGAGAGACCCAACTGACAATTGCTGTTGAGGTCCTGGTTCCTTAGGGAGGCAGACCCGCTGAGCAGCCTCCCTCAATGATGCCCCAATAAGACCCTGGAGAGTCAGACAGGTTACCAAACACAGAAACTGAAGGCAAGAGAATGTCTCCTTCAAATTCAACAGTTTGAATTAACCTGCTTCCTTTCCCTTAAGAAATTTTTCTCAAAGCGGGGAGTGGAGAAAGCCAACAGGGCAAACACAACTCCTGAGGGGAAAGAGAACAGATAGTGCCAAAGACACAAGTCTGAATTCTACTTCATGTTTGCTCTGTGATCTTAGGAAAAATGTTAAATCTTTCTAAACTTGTTTCTTCATCTTCAAAATGGGAATCATAATGGCTGCTTGGGAGGGTTTTGTGTTGGTTGGTCAGAGTTACTATATCCAGCTCAAGACACCCCTTGAGCACCCAGTGAGTAATAATAACCAACATTTACAGAAGGCCTGCCATGTGTTGGATACTATGCTCAGAACTTGAAATTAATTTACTCATTTACACTTTAATGATGTATACAGGGAAACATCACCTAGGTTAGTCAAGGGAGTTGAGAATTGACATTTAAGTCGAATATTTAAGAAGAGAGAACACTGGCCACATAAGGAGCAAAAGGAGGCTGTCCCAGCACCGGGGGTGGGGGTGGGGGTTCAGTGTCCAGAAGGTGCTGCATGTATATGAGGAACAAAAACAAGTTCAGTGTGGCTGGAGCATGGAGAGCAAGTGGAGGGGACCTGAGATGCGGACGGACTGTATATTGGTCTTTAACTTGGAAGTGATAGGCAGCAATGAGAGGGCTTTAATAAGGGAATGTCAAGACGCTGTGTGGAGAATGGATTAAAGGGGGGCAGGAGTGGATGTGGACAAAAGCGGTTCAGCAATTCCAGGTAGGAGCTGATGTCCACTTGGGATTGAGTAAGGCCAGCAGAGATGCTAAGAGACAACAGAAAATGAGATTTCATATAGCTTGTGATTTTCATGTCAGCAAATAAATATTAAGCATCATATATGAGCCAAGCACTATGCCTGATTCTTAAGGACATTTAAGGTCTAGTGGAAAAGAGAACTGCTAAAGAAATAAGCATAGCAACAAATATGTAACTAATAACTAGGGCGCATGCCAAAGAAAAAAAAACCAAGGTGATAAGAGAAAGAGCAGCATAGTTAAGGTTTGGTGATCAGGGAAAACACATTTAGTATGTCCAATCAACAGGCCCTCACCACCCTATAAAGCATTATTATGAATTAATTATTATGAAATGCAACATGTGATGGTTAATTTTGTGCGTCAACTTGGCTAGGCTGTGGTGTCCAGTTGTTTGGTCAAACACCAGTCAAGATATTGCTGTGAAGGTATTTTTTATATGTGGCTAAGACTTAAATCAGTACGCTTTGAGTAAAGCAGATTACTCTCCATAATGTGGGCAGGCCTCATCCAACCAGTTGACAGACTTAAGAAAAAAGACAGGTTTCCCAAAGAAGTGAGTCTCCTCAACACTGCAACGTAGAAATTATACCTCCATTTCTAGCCTGCTGCCATGCTGAATTCAATCTCAAGACTGCAAAATTATTGTTGACCTGAACTTCACATCAACTCCTACCTGAATCTCCAGCCTACCAGCCTGCCTTACAGATAGACTTGCCAGCCACCACAATCAACATGAGCCAATTCCTTAAAATAAATGTCTTTCTCTCTTTCTATGTGTGTGTATATGCACACACACACACATTCTATATGTATTATATAATATGTAAAGAGAGAAGGAGAGAAATCCTATTGGTTCTCTGTCTTTGGAAAACTCTGATTAATCCACAAACTAATATTACCTATATCAAATCATATGCAAAATTGTAAAATAATAAAACATTGTGCATCTGCTACATAGCAGCACTCAGGTCCAAATCCAAATTAAGTAAAAGCTGTTTACCAGAAACCAATGATAAAGCAATTGTCCATTATTTTTACAGTCTCTGCTATATAACAATTGACATAATATTATTCTTCGAGGAGTTAGTGTAAAAAAATAAAATGGTGTTGGTGGTGGGTTATTTACACTGATAAAGAGTCATAAATTCTATTAAACATTGCAAGTTATCTAACCTACGCTATTTTCCTTTATACCATGACTTCCAGAAAGCTCAAAGTAAGAGTGCTTAATTACAGTTATAATATTGTCCTCTGTTTCTTGTACATTTACTTCTTCCTTTTGTAGGTGTTCTCAAATCCTCCCTTTCATCTTTATTTGAACTTTGACCATATTCATGTATACTTCTATTATAGGCTGCCTCAAACTATTTTGGAAGCAAGTAGAGTATAAATTATAAACAAATAATTATGAGAACAGAGCTGAACCAAAGTGAAGATAGAGGGGGCAAGCAGACATTTGGGGTGTCCCTCAAATCCTGCCACAGAAAATGCTGTGCACTGCACCTCTACTCAGGCTGGCCCTCCTCAGGGTCTATCCCAGTGCACTGCAATTACAACCCTGCATGGTCTTCAGCCCTGTGCTGTAGAGGTTGTGGAAGGATATCCTGTGCCCCTCAGCACTGTCTATTCCCCTAAATGGGGTCACTGCATGGGCTTGAATACCCAGCAAAAAGAAAAAAGAAGACATCATCAATTGCAGACTTAAAACTGAATTGTGGCAGATATAAAGAGAGGTGTCTGCTCTAAAATGTGGACCCCCAAGTTCATGAAAGGAATTGGGCAATGACTAGGGAAGGGTGACCAACAATATTCCATTTTATGAAACTCACCTGTCCATGGTTAGAGCCATTCTTCATTCATTCAACATATCTTATTAAGTAAACTTTAGTCCTTACGTTACAAAAATTCCACCAAATACAACTATATATTGTGATCTCTAAGAAATTGAAACAGACTTCAACTGATAATCCAATTGATACTCCTCTCCAGAATTCATTGAGATTATCTCTCATCCCTCAAATGTGTTTAGGCAAATAAAAGGTTGAGATTTTCCAGTTTCCAATTAACCCTGATTTTGAGCTACTGGTAAAAACTGGTTCTGAGAGTAAGTCCTTGCCTTATTCTGCGTGTATGTCTTTTGATGTTATCCATGGATTCTGTATCATTTAAAAATAGGTTTAGGTTATCAAAAACTGTCTTTTAAAGATTTTTGTTTATTTATTCATTTATTTCTTCCCCCTAAAGCCCCAGTAGATAGTTGTGTGTCATAGCTGCACATCCTTCTAGTTTCTGTATGTGGGATGCCGCCTCAGCATGGTCGGAGAAGCGGTGCGTCGGTGCGCGCCCGGGATCCGAACCCGGGCCGCCAGCAGCGGAGCGCACGCACTTAACCACTATGCCATGGGGCCGGCCCTATCAAAAACTGTCTTTTAAAGTAATCTTTGCACTGTGCTTGAGCCTTTATTTGTGAGGATTTACCCTAGTCTTTCATTAAAAAGTGCAGATTCAGTGACTGGTGCCCAACAGTGGAATATGATCTGGATTGCAAATGACTCTAGGTATTTGTCACTATCATTATCTCATCAACAACCTTTGTAAACCCTAGAGGGCTTGGTAAACTATCAGCTATGCATAGTGGAATGCACATAAGGAGCAACTGTGATTTGTTCTTTTACAACCACAACTAGACTCAAGATTACAGAAGAGAAAATCATTATATTACTGCACCTTTGTGGTTCAAAACTTAGGGTGGTGGTTCCATCTTCTACAAAAGGAATTCAGTAGTCACCATGTATGGAAATCTCATATGCCAGATGAATTTTATTGAAGAATGCTCATTTTAAACTCCAAGAGCAGAGATGGCATTTGTAAAGTGATGATGTTCTTCATATGCAAAACACTGGCCTTGTAATGGCACCAAACAGCTTACCGCAGCATCAAAGGAAAGCCAATTCCTGCTGCTTCTCTCTGGCCAGTTTGCTGTCCTTGATCAAAAATTACCTTTGCTGCGCATCAAGTTGTTAGTGTTTAAAACTTACCATTTAAATTGTAAGCTGCAAAATCTAAATGGAACTGCACGTGTGATCTTTGTCACCTCATTTTCATGAATGGAAAAGAATATTCTGACATAAAAATTACATACTTAATTCTAGCTCACCCTCTCTGCTGACCTCCATCCCACACTGCCTTGGGTTTATTTCCTCATCCATCAGTGGGTCAAAGTAATTTCTGCTGTATTCATTTCCTGTGGAAAGTACATGAAGTAAGGGTCAGTGATTATTAGAAGCACATGAACCAAAATGTTAATTTTGAAATCGACACCAGCACAGAAGGGCCATTTTAGCTACTTTATAAGCTTAATTTTTTTACAAGTCTTCCAGGCCTCCCTTTTTTGTAATTATCATCTTGCAAAAGGTCAGAAAAGGTAAATCAAGAAACAAGCTCGTGTTATCTTTCTGTTGCTAAAAAATTAATGAGAAAATTATCCAATGTAGACTTTAGAATAATAATAAAAAAAAACTCCAGGAAAATTATTTTTAGGATATACTCAAGAAATGGACATTGTTGGAGTCTAATGATGTTTAGAGTTCACTGATGACTCTATTTACCCCGTATATCATTCACTAAGTAGATCACGTTATTGTGTCCAGAATTCTGTAGTTAACTTAGTCATGTCTTAATTATGAGAAACTGAAGCAAAATTTCCATGTCGATAGTTGAATAAAAAGAAAGAAAGAGAAAGAGAGAAGAGAGAGAAGGAGGGGGGAGGGAGAGAGGGAAGGAGGAAAGAAGGAAGGAAAGAAGGAAAGAGAGAGAAGAAAGAGAAAGGAAGGAAGGAAGGAAGGAAGGAAGGAAGGAAGGCAGGAAGGAAGGGGAAGGGAAGGGAAGGGAAGAGAAGGGAGGGAGGGAAGGAGAAAAGTGAGAGGGGCCTGCTTACAGGTCTTTTTTGTTGTGTCAACTTAAGTAGCCTAAAGGGAAGGTACAGATAATTTAGCCAGGAATTTTATTCAATTCACATCAACAATCTCAACAACACAAACCAAAAATTCTCACTTGACATTTTCCACTTATTTTTGTCCTTATCTCGATAACCAAACTGTAGTATCAAATATGACTTTATAATAGAGAAAAAGTTCTGTTATCAATTTTCCAAATCTAGTTTCATACTTCCTGCAGACTGAAATGTATATGTCTATTGCCAGTAATTTGCATTCAGTAAAACGTAACCCACTCTGACAATAATTCAAGTTGCCTCAAACACTGCAAAAGACATAAAGCCTTTTAGACTGAAAACAACAATAATTTTGAAAGTACTGCTCACAGGAAAGGGTTAATATATACCAGGTATACTGTGATACTCCACAGTATATTCGTTTCAGGATCAAAAATAATCCGAACAGCAGCTCCTTTCCCAAGACTAAATGGAATTTTGATCGGAACCTAGGTTTAATTTATATTTCTGGACTGGCACATTTTTGCTGTCAGTCTCTGTTCTATCAATGTAGTAAGTATAAGAACTGAAAATCTGCTTTTCCTTGAGGTCTCAATAAAGAAAAAATAAATGAGTTTCATTTTTGTTACTTTATCTGTCAACAACTACTAGGCTGGTATGAATCTTGGCAGTATGTAATCAAAGTCTTATGTACTGCAATAACACAGCCATTCTACCTCATTCACTGTAATTGTTTTTTTTTTTTTTCCCCCTTTACCACAAAGCACTGTGATATTCTAAATACACTCTCCCATATGCGGGCAAAATAATTCACCTATATTAAAGCAAAAACGGTAGTGTATTCCTTATTATATTACTACAGTAGCCTCAGTCAACTATTAGTACCCAGATCCTGGAAACTCCCCAATTCAATACAAAACTCAAATTTTTTGCCTACTGACGTGACTTATTAGTAAATAATACCAAGTTAATCAAGACCTTGGAGAATGAAACAAAGTGAAGTCATTTTTAACCAAAAGTCTGGAGAAGTTTCTTTGGTTTGTAGGTTCTCAAACCATTTCATCCCTGTTGTCAGTTGAGAAATTAGGGTCTTGCCCAGCTGTGCAAGAAGGAGGCCTGCACAATGAATGGGAGCCTTCCAGTCTGCCAAGTTTCCCCTCAGGGCTCGATGCTTCTGCACACAACTGGGAGATGTGCCCCTTAAGGTCTACGTATGGTTTCAAAATCTATGCAAATTGTTCCTTCCACATTCAGTATGGATTGGGGCACACATGTAAGTTATAAATGCCACTCCTAGAGTGATTTATTTTGTACTTCCCATTCTGCGACACAGCAAATAGCATTTTACAAGCAAAGACTTATGAGGGATCTTGAACAAAGAGGCAATCCGCTAATTCCCTTTAAACATTCCCAAATTCTATACTATATAATATTGTATATTTGTATAATTCATATATTTTTACAATTTTTTTATTTTATACTCTATTTTACATTACGTCATGTATTGTTTTATATATATAATGTAATACTTGCTTACTGTCTGTCTCCCCCACTCAAGCCCCATGAAGGCAATGACCTTCTCTCTTTGTTTACTCAGCCCCTTGAGTGCCTGGCATTGTGCCTGGAACACAGAGGTACTCATAATATCATCTGAATTCATTCATTAAATAAACCTTTCTTGGAAACCTATTGTAATATCCCATTGTTTTTATTGTCTAGATGTTCTTTCTTGATTAAAATGAGCCAGTTATCACTTTTTTATCACCCTCTTTTCCTCTCTTCCTTTCTATTCCCCATTCCCTCTCTCTTTTCCTTCAAGACCTCCTTCCCTTTGCTTTTTTTTTTTTTTAAACAAAGCTTCTGGCTATAACTTTTATTTTTAAAATTTTTTTTTAATTTATTTTTCCCCCAAAGCCCCAGTAGATAGTTGTATGTCATAGCTACACATCCTTCTAGTTGCTGTATGTGGGACGCAGCCTCAGCATGGCCGGACAAGCGGTGCGTCGGTGCGCGCCAGGGATCCGAAGCCCAGGCCGCCAGTAGCGGAGCGCGCGCACTTAACCGCTAAGCCACTGGGCCGGCCCTCCCTTTACTTTTTAATTGAGTGCTTTTTAGGAACCAAACACTGTGTCTGGATTTTAAAAACAAAGAAAAAACTGTGGCCCCAGCTTTCAGAGCACAGCATGCTGAGGGAACAAGGAAGCTAAACGCTGACAGTGTGGTATGATTTAACGTTGTGGTCAAGGATGGAGTTCCGTGAGCACAGAGCAGGAGCATCTCACCCATACTGGGAACTTCAAAGGAGACTTCCTGGAGAGATTGGTAGCTGAAATAAATTGTGAAATGTGGTTAGGAATTAGCCAAATCAAAACTACAGGGGAAAGGAACTTTTAACAGAAGGAGAATCACAGGCAAAGGAGAAAAGACACAAAGGCATACAGATATGGGAAGATGCTCTGTTAGTGGATGCTCCTCAATTCTTCTCAGCCTCCTAAAGTTACAATACAGTAAAGTAGGTAATGGAATCAAAACTTCTTCACTAGTCCTAGAATTGAGTTTAACTAGTTTTGGCTCAAATTATTATTAAGTTGTTGTATATGTCACTTTATGCTATGTTATTTCATATCCATTCAATCACTCAACCAATATTTATTGAGTACTTATTATGTGAATATACCAGTAAGACAAAACACTCAAAAATCTCTCTCCTCACAGAGCTTACATTCTGTGAATGGAAGAATAAAAGCAAACAAATGTGTATGTAGTTTACAGTTTATTAGATGATGTTAAGTGACACGGAAAAAATAGAGCCAGATAAGGATGATTAAGCATCCCAGGGAGGGGTGGGAGCTCCATCTCTTGCGTGTACCCTTGTTGCAAACTAAGAATAACACTCAGGATTAAATCACTATGTTCTCAAGACTACTGAGATAGTGAAGCAATAAGGTAATACTTATAATTTGTAATTTGTCATTATAACATTACTATTTTGCCCATTTCTTGCTATAACATAATTCAGCCTATGAATCAAATAAGAACCTACGATAAATATTAAAATGGTTCTTCCTTTCTAGGTATATCTTGCCCTGATAAGCCAATAACCTAAACACAGCAGGAAGAGTTTAAGATGGTAAAGCACATGAAACTTATTATAAATTTGGAAACAACAGACTTTATCTTAACACTAGTTGCTTTGCTCATGTTTCATTGGATAGTGTCAGGATTTAATAAAGTGAGATGGTTGTAGGGTAAAGTATGTATTACCAGAAGGTAAGTTGCTAATAGGATAAATTCCTAAAAGTGCCCTCATCATTCAGAATGTTCTTTTGGATATATCTAAAATCATCTCACAGGAAAATTAACAGACCCACTGAGAAATTCAAAGCAGGGCATTTAGCAACATGCATACAATAGGTTTTAGTATGGCTGATATTTAACTGTTTGTTACATTCGGATGAATAACCTGACAATTGGATATACATATGTATTTTTAGGTACGGTTCTACATTGAAGCAATTGGATGTAATCCATAAACTAATAAACCAGTAAATTGATCTTGTTGATATTCTCCATACCCTTGCTTCCAACTTCCTAAAAATGGCTGTTCAATGTTTAGAATTAGCCTCAGTTAATGCATGTCTCGTGCTATTTTTTACTGAATTGGGGAGGAACACAGGCACTTGCCTCTGCCTTCCACACAGATCAGGTTTTCCTATCATTTAACTCAGAGCAGCACGAAACGTAATCAGGGCTTTTACTTAAATTACACTGTACATGAACTTTGGCCAGGAAATCCTCCAGTGTGCACCCAGGCAGTTCCCTGGGGGCCATAAGAGTGAGAATGAAATTGCCCACCAGAGGAAGGTTAGTGTGACTCATAGAAGTGTTAACTCAACAAGGCAATCAGTGCCTTTCAAATCAGCTCCATTAGCTCAAGAGGAAGAAAATCCGAATGCATCTATCTGTTCCTCGGGACGTTTTTATTGGCTCCATTTTTGTCCTTTTCTGTGAATCCACCTGCTTTAGCTCAGATTTTTATTACTAACCATCATGTTTTCTATAATATACTTTAAGTTAAATAAACACGAGAGCTGCATATAAACTAGATAACTAACTAAATAATTTGCATCCTATGATTATATCCACGCACCAAAATTTTACAAACTGGGATATTCTCCTGAACATTATTCCTTTTAAAGGCATGAAGCCTAAATACCTATAATTAAATTTGATTCCTGTGAACTTTATAAATAAATTTGGGGAAACTTCATAGTTTCCTCACTTTGAAAATC